GAACTCGCAGTAATTGCAGGCAGCTGGCATCTAAATACTACTTTAATAGCACTTTAGTCCACTGCACCACCATGTCCATCACATGGTCCAATCAAAGCACAGTCCCAACTGGAGATGCCTCCCAGTCACGCCACTCCAGGTGCAGCCTGAACGTCCTTGACTCCCAGAGAAAAGAATGTTGTTATAACTATATATCACCCATGCTCCATACAATTCCCCCTCCCAGTTTCCCACAGAAGCAAATGTGGCAGGCCTGAAGGCCCAATGCAGAAGATGGCTTCCAGGCCTGTCAAAGGGATTGTGTGGCTTGTTTCTCTTCCAGGACAAAATTTCTAGGAAATTCTGGAGGGAACTCTTCCCCCCCAAAGTTGGTTAACTCAAGCAAGAGATCCTTCAGGTCTTCCCTTCGGTGTATTTGATCCAACCCTCAATTGTTGCAGAGATTTATCTAAAGCAAAACCCATAAACTTTATCTGGGCTGTGGAGGGAAAGCAAACAAAAATAAAAGGCAGTTCCTCTTGTGGGCTCCCCTAATTCTAGCATTTCCCTGCGATTCATAAAATGGTTCGCCGAGAACCTTAGAACCTTCATCTCTTGATTTAGAATTCTTAAGCCTCCTACATGCTATGATGTTTCCGCCATGCGCTAAAATGATGGTCCCTGACAATTTATGACAACTCCATGCCATCCCCACTCCCAGTTTCCCACAGCACTACGCGTGGCAGCCCTGAAGATGGCCTCCAGGGCTGACAGTATAATTGTACTTGGAAAGCTTTCCCTTATTTTATAGGCTGCACCCGGTTCTCTCCACAAAGACAAACCTCTGCCGATCCCACCAACTCACCGAGATCTTCCACCACCTCCTCCTCCAGACAGGCCCCACGCCATTGGGGCAGAGACTCGGCCCCAGAGACGGCCCTTGCCTTGCACTCCGGGAGACGGTCCTTCCAGGGACAAATTTTCCCCCGTGCCCTGTAACCGTCAGGGGGAGCTATGGCCCTCGCGACCCATGTTGAAGGCTCCCTCTGAAGCCTGGGCCAGCCGGGAGCTGAAGAACCGCCATTCCCTCCCCTTCTCGCTGCCTTCTCAGATGGACGCCAGGGTGGAGCCTCACAGACTGGGCAGTACTCTGAGCCTGGACACTCCGGTGGTGAGTGTGTGTGTGTGTGTGTGTGTGTGTGTGTGTGTGTGTGTGTGCCAGACTTCCCATGGGGAGGAGGTGGGGGGGGTCTTATCTCCGTCCATGAACCATTTCCAGTATGACACACACCCCTATGGGGGCACCAGGGCAATTGGAAGGGCCAGGTCTTCAGGCTCTTTCAGAAAGCCGAAGGGCAGGTGGGGATTTCGCCTCAAGGGCACGATGGTCTAGTGGACGGGAGCCACGGCAGAAAAGGCTCTTCCCTTGAACCCCCCTCCAGTTGGAATTCCCTACCTCCCCTTCTTATGCTTTATGGAATTTGTAAAGCTACAAAAACGCCAGGCGCTAAAGAGCAGGTCCACACATAAGGTCCAGTTAAACTGATTTATTGCTGCGCATGGTTATGCACAGGACTTGAGTGGTGCGGTGGCCTAGAGGTGGAGCTCTCACCTCACAATCAGGAGGCTGTGAGTTCGATCCTAGGTAGAGGCAGATATTTCTCTCTCTCGGCACTCTGAGAATATATCTGCAGAACAAAACTCCGCATTGGCGACAGGAAAGGCATCCGCCATGAAAACACACCGCTAGCTCCATTCTGTTGTCCAGACTCCACCCCGCAAGGGATTATGGGGTCATTAAATGAAGTTGATGGTTATGCACAGGACTATTCAATTCACAGTTAACACCTGTTTGGCCTTAGATAAGGGCCGAAGTTGCCTTCAGAAGTTGTGGGAGCTTTACCACTGGAAGCTTTCAAGAAGAGACTGGACTGCCATCTTTCAAAAATGGTATAGGGTCTCTTGCTTGGGCAAGGGGTTGGACTAGATGACCCACAAGGTCCCTCCCAACTCTGTTAATGTGTTAAAGGGCCAACATAATTCAAGGAGGGATGGACCTAGAGAGAAGTAGCTGAGGCACTGGCTAAAAGCTAACAGGTGATGATGCCTAGGTGTGCCTTTTTTTTTTTTTCCTAACTGCAGAAAAGTTCACAACAGGCTTAATAAATGCCCCTCTTTTGGTCTCCAACCGTACGCTGGGGGTGGCATCTGACGTGATGTTTTCTTGCAGAATCAACTCGGGCTTCCTGTTGGCTTAGACGGCGAGCATTCTAAAATCAAACCATCTTCTTCTGCCAATGCCATCTATTCTCTTTCTGTAAGGTAAGTTGTGCCCTCGAGGAAGCTCCGGCCACGGAAAAATTTATAAGAACGTTTCGACATCAGTAAGAGGGTTGAATTGCTCAATCGGTTACTCGGAAGTTAGAAACTCTGTAGAAACACGTGGGGGGGGGGGGGGGAGTTTCCGGCTGGCATCGGACTCCTCATTGGTTTCTGATCCTCTCTGTAGCGAAAGGCGTCGCTTTCCGTGACGCTGGAAGGCATGGAATGGAGTGGGCGATTTTGGGCTAAGCTGCTTAGGTAAATCTAGCTGGAGTTTTAGTTTCGTTTGGGGAGGTTTAGTAGCCTGGCTTAGGGTGACTGTACATGGGAGAAACCCCACGAGGATTGAGCCAGTGATGAAATCCAAATTTTTTTTACAACCGGTTCTTTGGGCGTGGCTTGGTGTGGCTTGGTGGGTGTGGCAGGGGAAGGATATTGCAAAATCTCCATTCCCTCCCCACTCCAGGGAAAGGATACCGCAAAATCCCCATTCCCACCCCACTCCTGGGGTAAGGATATTGCAAAATCTCCATTCCCACCCCACTCTGGGACCAATCAGAGGTGGTATTTGCCGGTTCTCCGAACTACTCAAAATTTCCACTACCGGTTCTCCAGAACCTGTCAGAACCTGCTGGATTTCACCCCTGGTTTGAGCTCAACATCATGAAACTTTAAATAGGATTAAACCGGATCTCAGCAGCTGAGTAACTTAATGGGAGAGGCACCTGTCTCTTAAGACAGTGTGAGGCCTGGTGGCCTGGTGTGTGTGTGCAGCCGTATTGCTAGAAAGCGTCACTTGTGATGCAAGGCTGGGCACATTGCGAGTCACAAAGCTAAGCTTTTGAAAGGTTCAACGCAGGGATCAAAACTTTTCCCAAGTTTCGCTTTAAAAGCTTCATCAGAAGAGAGCAGCGGGCTGCCTTCTGTCACAGATTGCAAACCTGTATTGTCTTCTCTCTCCTACCCCCACACCTCCCCAGGTCATTGATTGCCCCAAAGCTACTCTCCGGAGAGGCCTCTGGGAATGACGAAGACTCCGAGTACATGTCCCCTTCCTCCTTGCCCCTGGTGCCACCTGGCTGTGTGGCACAAAAACCCGATGCCAAGCTGCCTTTGGAAATGAATCCCGGTGCACGGTGAGGGAGTCCTTGCTATTTTGTTTCCCCCCCAGTGCATGTGATTATGATTGCATTTTAGAGGCTCTGATTGGGAAGGAGTAGAGCCGTGGTGGCGCAGTGGTGAGAATGCAGTACTGCAGGCTGATTTTTGCCTACCTGCCAGCAGTTCGATCCTGATGGGCTCAAGGGTGACTCAACTTTCCATATTTCCGAGATCGGTAAAATGAGGACCCAGATTGTTGGGGGCAATAGGCTGATTCTATAAACGGCTTCTAAAGGCAAAGATTCCCCTCGCACATATGTGCTAGTCCTTCCCGACTCTAGGGGGCAGGGCTCATCTCCGTTTCAAAGCCGAAAAGCCAGCGCTGTCCGAAGACGTCTCCGTGATCATGTGGCCGGCATGACTCAACGCCAAAGGCACATGGAACGCTGTTCCCTTCCCACCAAAGGGGGTCCCTATTTTTCTACTGGCATTTTTTACCTGCTTTCGAACTGCTAGGTTGGCAGAAGCTGGGACAAGGAACGGGAGCTCACCCCGTTACGCAGCACTAGGGATTCTAACCGCTGACCTGCTGAACCCTTTCGATCAACAAGCTCAGCATCTTAGCCACTGAGCCACCGCAACCCTCTTCTAAACTGCTTCTAGAGGACTGTAAAAAGCGCTGTGAAGCAGCATATAAGTTTTAAGTGCTGTTGCTAGTTATGAGCCAAATCAGTCTGCCTTTGAATTCCCTGCAACCTTGTAAGCTGGAATTGTTTGAGCCTTGGCACGGAGTTGAAAACCAGCCTGATCCAAAGGATGCTGTTCTCCTTGGTGCGATGGCCGGAGATGCTTACAGACTCAAAAACGGCGCATTGGGCCAAGGAGCCGCATTGTCTGAAGTGGCCTGTATGTCCGTGTTGAGGCTTGGAGCAGGAGTTCTTCCTGCCGCAGGACTTGAATCCAATGCCTTTTCTTTTTTCCTCTTTGCTCAGCGTCGTGGAGGGCGAGCAGGAAATGGAGGGAACGACTTACGAAGCAATGTTCAACATTCAGTCCCAGGCAGCACCGTGTTCCTCTGAAGCTGCCAGCATGTCTGGTAAGTTTCCTGGGAAATGAAATCGCGTTTAGGCTAGATTTATATTGCACGAAGCCAAAATAATGAAGGAAACGCAGCCTCTCCTTGCTAAGAAAAGTACACAAGCATTCCAACTGGTGCCTCTCCTTTCATTATCTCTCTATATTTATCTGTGTGTCTCCTCCTGAGCCATTCGCACCTCACTTTCTTTCTCCTGCTCCTTGGATGGAGGAAGGGTTGAGCAGTCCCTTCAGCGAGTAGGAGCTCACTTCCACAGGGCATTATGTACACAACGGTTTTCATCCTACGTGTGGCTTTGACCGCTCGCTCTGGCAATTTATAGCAGGGAGCAAAAATTAACAAGGTTCATTCTTCCACCATATCGCTCTTTTGCTCTCTGAGGTCTTTGCTTTCTGTGGAATGAAAAAAACGCCGTTCTTTCAGATTTCTGTTTATTGATTTAGCGTAAGGCATCTCATATATTGACTTGTACCATATCCATCATCGGACGTTGGCAATCCTGTTTTTATCAACAGCCGCACGAAAAAGTGCTGCTGAGTTTTGTCCTAACCGGTCCCTTAGATTTTGAAGCCATGATCATCATCTTCTGCCTGGACCTCGTTTGCCTTCCATCTTTCCCTGGAGGATTAAATGAAGGATGTTGTATTTTTCTGGGTGTCACATCACATGCCCAAAATATTCTAACTTTCGCTTTTTAATGGCTTTGATGATTTCCCTTGGCTTTCCCCAGATGGCTTATCACCTCCTCATTTGTGATTTTGTCAACCCAGTTTATACGTAACAGTCGTCTGTAAATCCACATTTCAAATGTTTCTAGTCTTTTCAAGTGGTTTTCTGTCAGAGACCAACTCTCCACTCCGTAGAGCAGGATAGAAAAGATGTAACATCTGACAAGCCTGATTTTCAGTCTTAGGCTTATGTCGTGACTGCAGAAGACCTTTTTCATTTTGAAGAACGCTGTTCGAGCTTTCTCTGTCCTTGCCTTTACTTCAAGGATACATGGCAATATATATTAACACCTCACCTAGATTAGTAAAATAAATATACAAAGGTTAAAAAGTTCTACGTTCCAATACTAATGTCTAGGCCAGCAATAGCTAACCTTTTTGCCATCGCGTGCCAGGAGCAAGGAGGGGGATGTCGCGCACTCGCATGCCCACATCCATAATTCTATGCGCCTTGCCCATGCGCACGCGCCCCCTCCCCCCCGCACGTTCCCCCTGCTTCTGGCACGTGATGGCACGGTAGGCCCATTTGTTGCTCTCCCCAGCCTCCAGAGCCTTTCTAGGAGTCTGGGGAGGGCGAAAACAGCCTTCCCCACCCCCACGGAGGCCCTCCATAGGCCAGAAACGACCCGTTTGCAAATTCTGGTGGAACTAGAAGGCCAGTTTTTTGCTCTCCCCAGCCTCCAGAGCCTTTCTAGGAGTCTGGGGAGGATGAAAAAGGCCTTCCCCACTCCCTGGAGGCCCTCCGGAGGCCAGAAATGGCCCGTTTGCCAACTTCTGGTGGGACTAGTGGGACCGGAAGTTGGCAAACGGGCTGTTTTCGGCCTCCAGAGGGCTTCTGCGGGTGGGTGGGGAAGGCCGTTTTCGCCCTCCCCAGACTCCTAGAAAGGCTCTGGAGACTGGGGAGAGAAAGAAACGGGCCTTCCCAACCACCCCCAGAGGTCCTCTGGAGGCAGGTTTCCCTACATCTGGTGGGCCCAGAAGGCCTGAAAATCATGCGCGTGTCGGAGCTGAGCTTGCATGCCCACCGATGTGGCTACACGTGCTATCACGGGTCTAGGCCACCTTGGATCGCGAAACGGCTTTTCTACGTGCTACGCAAAGACAATTTTTAAAATTTCTGTGCGTTTGGTTCAGCTTTGTGGTTTAGCCTATCCATGTTCCTCTTGAAAACACCCCCCCTCCTAACAAACCTGCAGGCCGGAGGCCTAAAGGTGTGCTGAAAAAGGCTTCATCCTTTTCAGATGTAGGTGAGGTGGTAGCTGAAGAAGAGGTTCCCAACGGTCCTGAGGAGTCGGAGAACGAGGAAGACGGTTACGATGTTCCCCGCTCGTCCGCCCAGCCAGCCACCACGCGTCGCACACTCTCCGATATCTCCAATGCAGCCACTTCCTTCAGCCGTGCCTCTCTGGATGGCGAACTTCTAACAGGTGCTCACGCGCGTTCTTGGGCAGGGTGGCGGGTGCCTCTAGGAACAGGACGCAGGGCACGAAAGGCTGAGAACAGACAGAGCTGACAAAATGTCAAGTAAAAATCCCGGATTTTGATTGGGGACCCCCAGCAGTCAGACCCTTGGAGCTGGGCGGTAATGACTGCTGACTTTTTTCCTCTCTTTTTCCAAGTCCTCCCGTGCTTTTCCTTCCCTGACTTTCAGAAAGGGGAGGAGTTGGCAGGCATGATAATTTGAGGTGTTTCATTTCCTTGCACTTCATCAGGCATTGCTCAGAAGGCCTATTGGAAAGGTTGGGCTCCCGAGTTGCCACAGTGTCAGCCCTTCAAGCTAGGCCAGACTATAGAATGCCAGACCTATGAACTGTTTGATCTAATTAATTGTCGATGGGGATTCTCCGTCATCCAGGTCATGGTTAGTGCCCTCTGTGGGGGCACCTACCATCTGGAACGAGCTCCCCCAGAGATACGGAGGATCTGCGCACGTTTCGTTGTCCTCTCAAAACTTTTTTATTTCAGCACGCTGGCCTGGCCTAACTCTCCCTTTTAAATTTTTTAAATCGTTTGATTTGTTTTATAAATTGGGTGTTTTAATCTGTGTTTCGGCCAAAATATTTAATAATTTTAAGGGACTTTTAATGTTTGTATTATCTGTATTTTATCTTGGCTGTTCACCGCCCTGAGTCCTCCGGGAGTAGGGCAATATAGAAATTTGATTGATAGATAGATAGATAGATAGATAGATAGATAGATAGATAGATAGACAGACAGACAGACAGACAGACAGACAGACAGACAGACAGACAGACAGACGTAGATAGATAGATAGATAGATAGATAGATAGATAGATAGATAGATAAAATAAATAGGTTGTCCCCAAAGGTGCTTTTTTTCAAGAGGCAACTGGACTTTCTGATTTTTCTTTGAAGACGTTTCCCTTCTCATATCCGAGAAGCTTCTTCAGCTCTGAAAAACGGAAGAAGCTTCTTGGATGAGAAGCGAAACGTCTTCAAAAGAAAAACCAGGAAGTCCAGTTGCCTCTTGAAAAAAAGCCCCTTTGGACGATCTAATTAATTAATCAGAATAGAATAGGAAGGGACTTTGGAGGTCTTCTAGTCCAGCCCCCTGCTCAAGCAGGAGACCCTGTACCATTCCAGACAAGTGGCTGTCCAGTCTCTTCTTAAAAACCTCCAGTGACGAAGCACCCACAACGTTTGAAGGCAAGCCCTTTCACCGGTTGATTGTCCTCGCCGTCAGGAAGTTTCTCCTTGATTCCAGGTTGCTTCCCTCCTTGATTAGTTTCCATCCATTGTTTCTCATCCTGCCTTCCGGTGCTTTGGAAAATCTGAAGGTTAACGGTCAGAAAGGAGCATCACCACCAAGGAACATAGCTGGTAGCCCTGCCCCCAGAAGAGCTTCCAAATCCTTTCCTCTTAGCCACGTGCTGCTGCTTTCTCTTGCAGATGCCTCGGACGTCTCCCAGGTTCCCGAGAGGCCCCCGAAACCTTTGCCTCGGAGAATAAACTCTGAACGGAAACCGGGGAGCTGCCTGCAGGCCAGCGGAGCAGGACCGGTCCCCGTGGCCTCCCCGCAGCTCTCCTCCGAGATCGAGAACCTCATGAGCCAAGGTTACGCATATCAGGACATCCAAAAAGCCCTACTCATCGCCCACAACAACATTGACATGGCCAAGAATATTCTCCGGGAATTTGTCTCCGTTTCTTCCCCCACGCACGTGGCCACATAGCACCTTTCTCTCTCTCTCTCTCTCTCTCGGCCCTACCTGGAGCCCCCGTGCATTCGTCCACCTGCCCGGGCAGTCTCTTGCCCGCATCGGCCTGGAGTTGAGTAAAGGCTCCTGGAGGGATTCCCCTGCAAAGGCAGGCCTGCCTCTTGCCGAGATTCGGTCGTCAGGGTTTTTGTGCAAGTCCAGGTGTTTTCCGAGTGGCGTGAAAACGGAGCAGATAGGTGTGTGTCTTCAGACAGTCTTCATGTACCTCTTTGGGTTCTCCTCTCTTCGCCCGCCCATCCAACACTTCCCTCCCCCCACCCCCCTTGCACTTTTCTGATTGGAGAGAACAGACCCGCTAAAACTTTGGATATACCGGTCACCCGTTTCGCTTCCTTTGCCGTTAAGAATACGGGGAAGGGTTTGGTCAACTTGTCTCGTGCTGTGAATATCCAACCGGAGGCCAAGATGCTGAAGTTATCTCCCACCCACCCATCCACCCCATCCTTGGTGGTATGGGGTACTACACGCGGGGCCTCCTTGCTGCTGTATGTTTTGGCTCAGGCTTTCCGGACCCTCTGCTGTGGGATACAGATTCTTGATGAAGCCAGACGTTTCGACGCCTTCCTTTCCCCCTCCCACCCTCCTCTCTTCCCTTCCTCCCGTCACGTTCAGCGCTCTCCTTCGGAAGCCGGCCTCTCCCCGATGCTCTTCGCCACACACTGGATCCCGCGGCGTGGTAGACGCCGACGGCTCTCAATTGGATTGGGGACGGTGTTTGGGCGGGAGGCTACCTTTGCAGCCTCCCAACCTTTTCTGCTTCGAAGTTCCCCGGGCTGGCTTGGGCCGCGGCAGCTGCCTCTTTGAATGTTCCTGATGTTACGGATGGTCCACAGAGCTGCCCACCTTAGCAGCCTCTTCCACATCCCCTCAACTCACCTGTAAAACTCTTAAATTAAAAAGTGAACCGCAAGCATGGTCCCTTAGACACTTAAAAAAGAGTGTATGTAGCACCCCCTGGAACCTCTTTACCTGCTCAGTAGTAAAAATGCAACCATGTTGGGGGTCGGGCATTTGTGGAACAGCATAAAAGACAAAACTCTTTTTTTTTTCCTTCTTTTTTTTCCCCCCCTGGCCTGTTATATCAGGAACAAAAGAAAGTGTGTTTGTTGGAAAGCCCGTTGTCCATAAAACCTTGACTTTTGTGACTCCCTGGCTTAAGCTTTTGACGTTACTTTTCCTGGGTACTCAGGGAAGAGATACGACGAAGCTGTTTTGGTTTTCTAGGGAAAAGTTAGCAAGCATCTCTCTCTCTCTCTCTCTCTCTCTCTCTCTCTCTCTCTCTCTCTCTCTCTCTCTCTCTCTCCCCCCCTCCCCCACTTCCCCTCCCCTCTTTTTCCTCTTTCCTCATCTGCTTCCCTAGTTTTCTGTGCCCACCTGCAGGGCAAGAGCATGTTACCCTGGCATGAAAGTGGACATCTTGAGGTCCCTTGCATGATCAGCTTCCGTGGTTTTTTTTAAAAAATAGCATTAATTCCTCCTCGCTAATTTAAGGACGCTTTCATCCTAAAGAGGCCGGAGAAGAGAGTTTGTGTGGAATAAATGTTTTCTAACTGGAGAGGTGTAAGGTCTTCTCTGGGTAGCAGAAGGCACTGACCAGATGGCCAAGACCTCCTGGGGGAGCTCCAAACCCCCCCCCCCACTCTCCCCTTGGACGTTGGGTGAGGCCAGTCCAGTTTTCCTGCCTGCAGGTGACTCCAGAGAAAATGGTTGATCTTAAGAGGACTCTGCGAAGGAGATGGTGATGGCACCTAGAAGCAGGGGAATTCTACAACCCCTGCTGCAAGGAGAACTTAAGCCTGACTAGGTGGCTCAGTGGCTAAGACACTGAGCTTGTCGATCGGCGGTTCGAATCCCTAGTGCAGGTCTCCGTGAGCAGGTGGGGTTGGATTAGATGACCTCCAAGGTCCCTTCCAACACTTGTTACTATTACTTTATTTTTTTAAAGTTGCAGTGGCTTTGCTTCCTTCTCCCCCCCCCTTTTAAAAATCGGTGGAACTCTTTTCCGTTTCTCTCCAGGATGGTGGTTAAATCTGGGTCAGTTCGAGGAGTCAAGTTTTCTCGAGTTCTTCGCAAAACTGAAGCAGCTTTTGGTGTGATTCTGGGGGGGGGGGGGATTGTTGTCGACACTCCTTGCTTGGAAGTGAGATCTTCGCGTTGGGTCAGCCCACGTCCTCACAAGGAGAGGCATTTTCTTTCCCGTGGGTGCCAGGCCATGGATTAGACGAGAGCAGAGCCAACACCGCCATGCTGCGTAGCCGACCAGATTCCCCTGCGTGCGTTCCTTTCATATTCCTTTTCCCGTCTTAAATTTCACAAGGACATTTTTTTTTTTTGGGCAGGGGGGAAGTGTGTGTTTCTTTAGAAACCCCATGAATGTCACAATCCAGCAAGCAGTAGGGCAAAAAAATACTAATTGGGATCGTGTTCCCTGCTGCTTTTACATTTGACTTTCATCCACCCCACCTCCCTCCTTCCTTCCTCCTCCATCTCTTAATTTTTTAGGGGGGGGGGGAATGTTGACTTATTTTACAGAAAGCCAAATGTATAGTGCCTTTTCAATAGGGAAAACGCTGTTCTCTCCAAGGATGAATCTGAAACTAGATTTGAAACTTGACTGCAGAGCCCCGGAGCTCCTCCTTGGGTGTATCATAGCTTGGCAGGAAGGAGCCAACGATTGGCCACCGACTAGCGTGAGCAAGTCACAACTAGCTCTCTTCTCTTAAAGCTTCTTCATTACTAACAACGAAAAGCCGGTGTTTCCTGCCCTAGGCTGTACCTGAAGGCCATGGAGTGCTGCTGGACCACTTTTTAACGTAGCTACGGGGACCTCAACTCTTCCATCACTGGTTTCCGTCGTGAAACGGTCTATCGGCCCGGAAGCAAAATCCAGTTGGCCTCCTTCAGGGTGTGTCCGGAACAGGAGCGTTCAACTTTGGCAACCACAAGACCTGAGGACTTCCAGTTCCTAGAATTGAATTCCCTAGCTGGCTGGGGGAATTCTGGGAGTTGAAGTCCACAAGACTTCCAAGTTGCCAAGGTTGGACATCCTTGGCCCAGAACTTACCTCGGGCCAATTTGGGGGGCATTTTGTTGCCTTTGGCCAACTGAAAGGGGCAGAGATGGTGGACTAGCATTGCCTCTTGAGCACTGTGTTGGACGTTTCCATTCATTTCTTGCTTGCGTGTGTGTGTGTGGGTGTGGACAAGGAGTTTCCTGTGGATTAAATGTTCAGTGCCTGTTGGGTTCACAGTGGATCTCTTTCCTTAGAAGTGTCGCCTCCCTACGGCCTAAACATGCAGTCGCATTGAGGAAGATTATGTGTAGCTTGCAGCAAATTTTTGGAATTAATCATGGATGACATTGGATGGCGTTCCCACCCGGTCGTCAAGAGTTCCCGTGTTTTAGGACTAAAACTGCAATCCGGGGAGAGGTTACACTAAATTATAAATTATCTTTGTTGGGTAGGAAAGAGTGGTTAATAATAAGTAGCTTTATTTCTCCTGAAGGTTGAGAACCAATGTAATATTGGTGTTTAAAAAAAAAAAAATCAGATTTTCACTGACTATTTTAAAAAAGTTATAATATCATTAATATAAAAAAAAATATATTAGCAGTATTTAATCCTTTCAGACATGTAAAGAGTAAGAACAGAAGGTAAATATTCTTACAGAATAGCCGAGCTTTAAGATTCATTTGGGCTAAAGTCCTCGGTTTTTGTTTTTCGTTTTGCAGATGCATTGTTAATGTTTTAGAGGTTATACTAATGTTATTTATTTTTTATTTTTCATTCTGGTAAGGGCCCGACTGAAGAGCTTGGTGGGGAGGGGTGGGGGCCTTTAGGGAACTTCATGTGTGTCGATAAAAAAAAAAAAGAGAAACAAAAGGAAAAGTTTTATTTTTAAATAAATTTCTTTGTTGTAGCACACGGCTTGTTTGATGTCAATGTCAATTCTTGTGATAGGGGACCCCTTGTACCAAGCTAAGTCATAGGGGCACCCCGATTTTATGGGGGGGGTCTCCCAAAAAGGGGGGGGTTATGGGGGGTTTTTCCAGAAGTTCCACATCAATGAAAATTAGACCCCTGGCTCTAGAGCAGGAGTCTCCAAACTTGTCAACTTGAAGACTTGTGGACTTCAACTCCCAGAATCCCTCAAGTCAGTCATACTGGCTTGGGGAACTCTGGGAGTTGAAGTCCGTAAGTTTTGCTGGCTGAGGAATTCTGGGAGTTGAAGTCCACACAGCTTAAAGTTCCTGTGGTTGAACAACTCTGTCTAGTCTTGGCTTGTGAATACAAAAGTCAAGCTTTTGTCCAGTGTGCGTTGCTTGATAATGAGAGTGAGGCCCCCTTCCTCACGAACAGACACATGTGCCCCGAGAAGCCCCTTACTCGCTCCTCTTAGCACAGCTGATTTAAAAACAACCAAAATCACTCCCCGAGATTTCCCTTTTTCAGTCACACAATGTACACAAGAGGCCATTCTTGACGACTTCTTTAGCTTCTTTATTTTTCATTTATATATATATACATATATATATATAAAACCCTGCAACTCAAGACACTCTTAAATTTACACACATGTCAACGAAAAATATATGTATATCTCCAACAAGAGCTTTCCATTCTGGCATCTCCTGACGTGCATGTAAACCGTGCACCAGCCCCTCACATTTTGGGGGGTTAACCCTTTTTAACCATATGGGTGTATTTTCAAGCAAGGTATTTACTATATGGTAGGGTTGTCCAACCTTGGCAGTTCTTAAGACCCGTGGACCCTCAATTCCCAGAATGCTGGCCAAGGAATTCTGGGAGTTGGAAGTCCACAAGTCTTTAGCTGGACACCCCTGCTATATAGGCGCTTTCCAGCCCAGCCTCAAAATTTCTGAAAGGTGAAAATAGGAAACAGCAGCCAGGAGATCCCGGGAGAAGAAGGAAGGAAGGAAGGAAGGAGAAAGAGAAAGGAAAAAGAGAGAGAGAGAAAGGAAGGAAAGAAAGAAAAAGAAAGAAAGAAAGAAAGAAAGAAAAAAGAAAGAGAAGGGAAAAAGAGAGAAAGGAAGGAAAGAAAAAGGAAGAAAGAAAGAAAGAAAGAAAGAAAGAAAAAAAAAGAAAAGCTTGAGTTGATTTCCACATAGAGATCTTGTCCATTCCAAGCAAAGAGAAAGAAAAATAGAAAGGAAGAAAGAAAGAAAAACTTGAATTGATTTCCACATAGGGATCTTGTCCATTCCAAGCAAGGAGAAATTCTGAGACATTCAAGACCATCTACACACCAGAGCATCTAAACCAGGGGTCCCCAAAATTGGCAGCTGTAAGATTTGTGGACTCCCAGAATTTTCTGCTATGCTGGCTGGAGAATTGTGGGAGTTGAAGTCCACAAGTCTTAAAGCTGCCAAGTTTGAAGACCTCTGATCTAAACACATCATCTTCTGTGTTTGGTCTCCGGCAGTGGCAGCTGCCTATTCGTCTTCCTTCAAAGGTCTCAGCTGGACAGAAACCCAAGAATCCCGTCTCCAATTCCCATTTTTCTCTCGTTGCAGCCGAGGGAGAAGTGGGCACTGCCCAGCTGTCTTAGCAAAAAATACTGCAGGAGCTGCGGACTTGAGCAGGGATTTCTTTGAGGCTGGGGGGGAATAGAGGGGGACTAGCTGGAGATCTCTGATAAGAATATGCCACTGTACAGTTTGTACAAAAAAATAATAATATTCCCTTATTCCGGCGTTTTTCAAACTTGGGGACTTTACGACGTGCGGGCTTCAACTTTCAGAGTTCTTAAAAGTTGCCAAGTTTGAAAAGTACTGCCTTGTTCCTATCCTAAGTCAAGAACCATGGAAAGAACATTTCACTTATTCACCGAACAAATTCCCCAGCGAGCGTCCTTAAAACAAAAACTTTCAAATGTGCTTTTTCGTTTTTCACTTTTGAGACTCGACGTCTTCCGTTCAACTTCAGCCATTCTCCCATCTTTGACATGCTTTTTTTTTTTAAAAGAACGATTCGATTTACATCCTCAACTGGAAACAAAACCTCCTCTTTTACCCATTTATCCTGTGCTCCAGATTTACAAATTGGGCGTTAAAAAAAGAACAGCGTAATAAGTTTTCATTCTCATCCGATGACTGGCTTTTTGGCCAGTACTTTTAAAATTGTGCCAACTTTAAACCTTTTGCTCCCTTCTTTTTCGCAAACCCGGAATGCAAACACTTAACAACATAACACGGAGAACAGCACAGGTCTGCCTCTTTAACACAAATGCTGTGAAGTTACAACGCCTCAAACCGCCTTTTCTTTTCCTTGTCGTCTTCTTTGAAAAAAAAAAATAATAATCACAACTTCCTTGAAAAGACAAGAGAAGGCAAGATTGCAGAATATCCCGTACTGGGTCCTTTCCGTGCGTTGTTGATTTATTTGCGTGTCTGAATGACGGGATGTGGGGTGAATGTTTTAAGTGGGGTGGGGGGGGCGTGGGGGGCAGGAGAAAAAAATTCGAAGAAATCGGCCGGCTTTCTCTTCAGTTCCTCAAATCGATGTATTTCTCTCCCTTTTGACAGCCAAGAGAGGAAGATCTTGCGTTAGGATCCAGGAAAAGCATGCCTTTTTATTTTATTTTATTTTTTAAAAAAAAGAAAAATCCCGATTCACCCGTTTCTTAGGTGGCTAGCACAGGGGAGCAGTTGTGTGAACGAAAGCAAGTGAGAAGCTTCAAGGCAGGGCCCAAAACAACAACAACGACAACAACAACAAACAACCACATGCTGGATATTTTGGGGACTCTGGCGAACGACCCCGCTCTTCCTTCACTGGCAAGGAGAGGACAGAAGGTGCCAAGCCGGCTCTGGGTTCAAAAGAAGCAGTGAAGCTGCAGTCCGAGGGAGATGCTGAAGCGAGGCACGTCTGCGGGATGGGCTTAACCCGTTTCCTGATCTAACGTCAAACCTGCGTTTGCACCCTGTAGGGTAGAGAAACCATACCGCCTGGATTCCCACAGCACAGCCCTAAAAGAAACCCCCTCCCCACACCTCACGGTGGGCAAAAAAAAAAAGGCCAGCTTTTCAACCCGTCCTGTGAATACCCAGCCAGGGTGAAATGCCCCGACTGCAGAAAAGTAGGGGCTCTCTACATGGGGCTCCCCTTGAGGAGCACCCGGAGGCTCCAGCTGGTCCAGAACGCGGCCGCGCAGGTGGTTATGGGAGCGGCGTGGTGCTCCCATGTGATCCCCCCCTCCTGCGCGAGCTGCACTGGCTCCTGGTGGTCTTCCGGGTGCGCTTCAAGGTTTTGGTTACCACCTTTAGAGCGCTCCATGGCATCGGACCGGGGTATTTACGAGACCGCCTTCTGCTACCAATAGCCTCTCACCAACCAGTACGTTCCCATAGAGAGGGGCTTCTCAGGGTGCCGTCGGCCAAACAGTGTCGACTGGCGGCCCCCAGGGGGAGAGCCTTCTCTGTGGGGGCACCGACCATCTGGAACGAGCTCCCCCCAGAGATACGGAGGATCCCGGACCTGCACATGTTTCGTCGTGCTCTCAAAACTTTTTTATTTCAGCAGGCTGGCCTGGCCTAACTCTCCTCTTTTAAATTTTTTGATTTTATAAATTGGGTGTTTTAATCTGTGTTTCGGCCAAAATATTTAACAATTTTAAGGGACTTTTAATGTTTGTATTATCTGTATTTTATCTTGGCTGTTCACTGCCCTGAGTCCTCCGGGAGTAGGGCGGTATAGAAATTTGATTAATAAATAAATAAATAAATAATAAATTTTGTGATCGCAAAGCAAAAGATCCTGCCTGCAGAGTCGGCGTCTATTGAGAGATGCTGATGGGACCGTCGGGAAAAACACTGCACCCCCCACCCCCAATGAGAGATTGAGCGAGAATAAATAATGCTCAACCTGGGTGACTTTTTAAGACATGTGAGCTTCCAGCTCCCAGAATTCCCTGGCTAAGCATGATAGAATCGGGGAATTCTGGGAGTTGAAATCCACACGCTTTACAAGTTGTCGAAAGATTGACAAACCCTGGGCTTGACGCTGACGGAGAAAAGTGCTTCGCGCTCTATAGGTCGGTGTCGGCGAACCTTTTCGGTGCCAGGTGCCGAAACGGGAGCTCGCGTGCATGCACACACATGCCAGAAACCAAGCTGCCCTGTGTGCATGCACGTGCTGGGAAGATGATCGGGTTTCCGGTGCGTGTATGCACCCCAGCCACCTGGTTTTCCGGTTTTTCGCGCGCATGGACACACGAACACTAGCTGGCTGGTGCGCATGTGTGTACTGGAAACCGGAAGATCATCTTCCCAGCACATGCACGCGCACCAGGCAGCTACCTTTTTGGTTTCCGGCATGTGCGTGCATGCACACATGCGCACTAGGCGGCTGCTCTTCTGGTTTCCAGCGCTCCCATCCGTGTGAAGATTAGTGCACCGGAACCCGGAAGAGCCAACGGGCGACGGCTCGCGTACCCGGAGAGATGGCTCTGCATGCCACTTCTGGCACGCGCGCCGTAAGTTCGCCATCACTGCTATAAGTGATTTTGAACTTAACCATTCGTTTAGCCTCTCTTCGGAGTTGCAGTCGTGCTGAAGCAAGTGACTTCCAACCAGTTTTTGCACTCACAACCATCACAGCTGTGATTAAAATTCAGGCACGGCGATCGGCATCTATTTACACCAGTCGCAACGTCCTGGGGTCACGCGATGACCATTTGCGACCTTCCCAGCTGGCTCCCAACACGCAAAGCCAAGGGGGGAAGCCAGGTTCGCTTAATGACTCCATGATCCATTTAACCACTGCAATGATTTGCTTAAAAACAGTGGCCAAAACGGTCCCGAAATTGGGACGTTAACTGCCTTGCTTAAGCAATGGACATTTTGGTTCCAATTGTGGTCATACGTTGAGGACTACTTTATGTATTAAATTGACCAGTAGCACCCAAGCCTCCATGCAACTAAAGTGAGCTGCAATGGAAAAATGAGGTGTTTGGGTCTCGAATAAATGGGGCAAGATTGTACCTTGATGGGTATTGTCATTTTATTGGGTTAGGAATATTGATGGCGGATGGTTTTAATGTTCTTTTAATGCTGTAAGCTGCCCAGAGTCGCTTTGTAGCGAGACGGGCGGCAAATAAATTTAATAGTAAATAAATTAAGTCGACATCCAAAGGCCACCGATTTGGCCGAGGACGAGAAAAGGGGGTCCTGTCCATTAAGAAGGAACTTTGCTGACAACCCATCTGCGCCCTGAAGGGTGCCACCGGTCTGGAGGGAGGATGGATGAAAGTTGGGCCCTCCCAGGATACACAAAAGATGGACATTGCAGGAAAGCAACCCCCCCTCCCACCCTTCCAGCTGCAGGAGCTGCCTACCTGGTCACCTGGCGATCTCTTCTCACCGTTGGCACCCTGGAGAAGACCCGCCTCTTCGGGAAGTTTATCTGATTTTACTTCAACTACAATCTCGTCTTTATGTGCTTCGGGCCTCGTGCTGAAGAGGAGGGAGGGAGGAGTGTGACAGTGTTGAGACAGATCCAAATGGGGCTCTGGGAAAGGGGGGGTTGCAAGGGGAGGGGGGCATGCTGCAGGTCAGAGTGGAAGGGGAACTCTTTGTCTCTGCTCCCCGTTTCTTCCGTGAGGGAGCAGAGCTGCTTAACGCAGGTGAAAAGATCCGCAAGGAGCACTTTTGCTCAATTGGGTTATGTAGAGGCCTGTGGGAACGGCCTTGGGAGATGGAAGAAGGAAGAATTGCAGACTAAACAACTATTCTGCGAAAGGTATCTCGGTCCACAGATGGAGAAACAGGCGGGAAGCATTTCAGAAGGACCCTCTCTAGTTATGGGGGAAAGTAAAATTATAGGAGAGGGAAAGCGCTTTCAGACTTGCAAGATTTTCAAGGTTGACTCCGCCTTCCATCTTTCTAGGGTTGATAAAATGAGGACCCCAGATTGTTGGGGGCAATAGGCTGGCTGTGTAAACCTCTTAGAGAAGGCTGTAAAGCACTGTGAAGCGGTATGTAAGGGCTATTGCTATTCCGTTGCAGTAACCTTACAATAAAGGTTGTACACACGATTGATGCTTCTTGTCTGGACCGCTCTGAAGGGCTATCGTCAGTTTTGTAAGTCTGAAAGTATTCCTCTACTTTCCTTTTCCCCCTCTGGTTGATGCTTCCCACGCTTCTCACTTTGGGACGAGAGTTGTGTAAGCTGTGACTTTCCCTCCTGTGCCAAGGCCATCCCCACAGTCCATTAGGGATTAAGGGGAAGATGAAGGTTCCCGATTGCTGCTTTGGGGCTGGGGGTGACAAGGGGAGCAGAAGCCGATCAAGCCACCCACCCACCCACTTTCCCCTGCATTCAGAAGCCGGCCGTTGCTGGGTGCGATGAGATTGGGAAGCGTGTGGACTCGGATGGAGGGGCAAAGGGGGATTTTCCCAAGAAACGCTCCCGACTCACATTTCTTGTTTGCCGGAGCGCCCGCAAGCCAGCTTGCCCTTCTTGTGCAGGAAGTAAAGGACGGCCCCCAGGACGGCGAACAGCAGCAGGCAGACGATGACTGCTACGATGATCACCCCTTTGCTCTCCTGCGTTATGGTCTCTGGCAAGAAAAAGAGGCAGAGATGGAACGGAACAGACGCTCTTGGTGGGGTTCCGGGTGACGCAGAAACTAGGGGCAGCATTCGGGAAAGGAGCCCTGCTGAGGTCTGCGTATCAGATGTCCCAGGGGGCGCTGAAGAACCTCTCCAAAATGGGCAGCCAGACGGGATTCTTGCCATTGACACTGCATGAAAGTTGTGTCAATTGCAACCCTGGCGTGGATTGACTTCAGTCGGGTCACGAAGGGCTCAGGCTTTGTGTCTAGAGCACGGGGTCCCACTACTGAGTTAGGCTTAGTGGAACTTCATTCACAAGTGCAAGTCCCTGCCGCTCGTGTGAGCGGAGCTTCGCATGCGAGTACAAGTCACCCTTCACTCGCGCACGAAGCTCCATTCGCGTGAGTGGAGGGTACGCGCATGCCGCTCGCACAAATGGAGCTGTGCACATATGTGCGCCTGTCACTCATGCCCCTTCTGGCCAGGCTGCCACCTGGAAAGGTTGTGGACCGCTGGTGTAGAGTACAGAAAGTCTTCAACTTTTTACTAGTCATTTAACAATCATTCAAAGTTATGTCAGACCCTCCCGGGGGTACTTATGTCCTAGTTCCAACGTTCCGACAGCTGCCCTACCTCGTCCTGTGACCGCATGTTGGTCGCAAGGCAACTAGCCTGCGTCTATAGCTGTTTGCAGCATCCCCCCGTTGTGCAACTGTGTCTTAACGACGGATTCGCTTAACGATGAATTCGCTGAAAACCAGCACTGGTCTTTGGCAAAACCAGCCCACGGAAAGCTACTGGTTCGCTTAACAACCGTTGCATCTGCTTAGTGACTTTACAACCATGGTGTTTGCCTAGTGACCACCTCAAAAAAGGTCACAAAATCGGGTTAGTCACCTGCATGACCTCTTTTTACAACTGGCGTGACTTTTGACCTTGATCGGCAGGCTCCATTACGGTCGTAGGTCAAGGATTTCCTGCGACGTATTTCAACCTCGACAACTTTTTAAGATATGCGGACTTCAACTCCCAGAATTCCCCGGCCGGCATGCAAAATTCTGCATGAAAGCCTCTTTTGTGAGTTACAAACGGGACATCTGCAGGGAAGGTGCCCCCAAAGCCAAAATGGAGTTGAAGTTCCTGCTACATTTTTTTTTTTTGATGGTGGCTAACAGAGAAAGGGGACGTAGTGGCTCAGTGGCTAAGACACTGAGCTTGTTGATCGAAAGGTCGGCAGTTCAGCAGTTCGAATCCCTAGCGCCGCGTAACAGAGTGAGCTCCCGTTACTTGTCCCAGCTTCTGCCAACCTAGCAGTTCGAAAGCAGGTAAAAAATGCAAGTAGAAAAATAGGGACCACCTTTGATGGGAAGGGAACAGCGTTCCGTGCACCTTTGGCATTGAGTCACGCCGGCCACATGACCACGGAGACGTCTTTGGACAGCGCTGGCTCTTCGGCTTTGAAACGGAGATGAGCACCGCCCCCTAGAGTCGGGAACGACTAACACACATGTGCAGGGAAACTTTTAACTTAACAGAGAAGCACTTACCCGTTTTGTCAGGATGCTCTTTGGTTTTCAGCCCTTAAAAGGAAGAAGAGACACGTTGAGTAAACTCGTTGAGCCATCAACACCTCCAGAGAGCCCCCGTTTGCAAACCCCTTCAACCTTGTTTACTTTTAGTTTCTTTTCTGCTTCGGCAGACGAGCTCAAGCCAGTGTATTTCGTCTGCTGATGTTGCAACCTCATGTATAAACTCAGAGACATGAGTTCATTCGGGAAACTGCCTTTTTGCTAGTTTGATTCGGGAAGGAGAGGTTGCAAACTTTTGGTGGAATAACGCAAAAGGTGGGATTGGAGGAAAAAAGAAACAATCAGGAACAAATCTTGGGCTGAACAGTGTATCCTGGTCCTTGCCCTTTCCCGGATCTTGAAATTTTGCGAGTTCATGCGAGACTCTGGCCATTTTTTGAAACTGAATTTTATTTTGGAAAGCCGGAGATGCTTCTGGCAGTCTGTGCATGCTCTAGAACAGGAGTGTCCAACCTTGACAACTTTTATGTGTCAAGCTTCCGAAAGATGCCTTAATTAATTCATGAGCCATGATCCAAACTTCAAAGGAAATATAGTAATTTATTAGGAGCAACATTCCGGCAATACTCGGATGCAGTTAGGACTGATCCCACGTAGATTTACGTTCCTCTATGACCCTGTCTCTCCCCTCCTCTCTGGCCATGTCATAAATCACATTCTCCAATTAACCACTTTGGCTGGCTGTGAAACCTAACACCCTCCTTCTGATTGCGGTCAGAAAGAATGTATGGAATTCACTTCAGTTCTCCCTCCCTCCTGCTCAGGGCAACTTGAAAGCTTTGCAAGTTGACATTATGACTTGTGGATTTCAACCAGTGGTGAAATCTGGCTGGATCTATCCAGCTCGTGCGAACCAGTAGCGCCGATGGCAGGAGGCTCCGCCCACCCGCCGGGTCGTCATTACATCCCATTTTTAACCCTCTGCGCATTTGCAGACGAGACGCACGCATAGCGTACCCACACTCCCGTTCCCGAACCAGTAGCGAAGGTAAGGTGGATTTCACTGCTGACTTCAACTCCCAGAACTCCCCAGCCAGAATGTATTATGACAGGTGGGTCCAATCTTGACAATTTTTAAGGCCTGTGGACTTCAACTCCATCTGGGGAATTCTGGGAGTTGAAGTCCACAGGCCTGAAAGTTGCCAAGATTGGACATCCTTGCTCTAGAACCCGAGTTCCCTACAAGCTGATTGGCAAACAGTGCAAATGGTTTTTCTCACAGAGGGGAGAGTCAAAGGGGAGAGGGGGGGAGAAACCACTTACACAGTGGGAAGTGCTGGTTTTCCGACCCCAACTCATTTTCACCAGTGCAGTTGAGACCCGATTTAAGGATTTCCTTGGTGACCAGCACGGAGAGAGTGCTATTGTAGTGGTTTTTCCGTCTGGATGTATGTACCTTTTAAAAAAAAAGATGGCACAGTTCCTATTTTGTTGAGAGGAATTCAACAGTGGGTGAGGCGGTTGTTATTATTTTTAAATAGGAAATATTTAAAAATAGGAAAAAGACAAGAAATGATGACCAGCAGTCCCAGGAGGTAATCTGGGAGGACCCAGATTGTTGGGGACTCTGTAAATTGCTTAGAGAGGGCTGTAAAAAGCACTATGAAGTGGTATATAAATCTAAGTGCTATTGCTATTTACCGTGCTGTTACTTGTACTCCAGGAGATGTTCATCCGAGGCACTGAGTAGAAGCTGCAAGTCAGATCCACCACCTCCCCTTCCCGCACGCCTAGATTCTGCTCCAGATGCACCTTCTGGGGCTTTGCTGCGAGGGGAGAAAGGGCAGATGTTGGGCACAGCCTGATGGTCTCAGAAGTGCTCAAGCGAGAAGAGGGTGAGGGCTACCAGGTGCCCCACCGTGCCTACCTCGAACAGCAATAAAAATGTGTCGGGAGCGCACCCAACCGGGGAAGTCTGGCATTGTCACCACACAGGTGTAATTGCCCATTTTCTCATAGGTGATGAAAGTCAAATTCAGGACCGCACCGTCTGCAATGAGCTTCCCTTTCTAGAATGTAAAAAAAATTAAAAAAAATAAATCACCCTGTGGTCCCCTCTCCTTAGCATTTTTAGCTCCATCCCTCCTGAGAATTTTCTCTCTCTTTTTCTCTCCTTTTCCAACCCACCACCACCTCCCATCTTCCACAAAATGCACCTATCTTGCACCCCCATGATTGCCAACTATGACCCACCCTTCTCCCGAAGTCGCCTACCCACCCCTCTGGGCAACACCATCACCAAAAGTACCTTCTGCCACTGGAATTTCAAAGGTCCGGATCCTGTGGTGGAGCAGGTCAAGACCAGGTCTTCTCCTTCTGCTGGTTGCTGGGGTCCAGCTGGGAAGATGGTAGGCACGTCGAGGTCTGGAGGAGAGAAACAGGCTTAACCCCCAGACTAACTTTAATTAGAATTTTAAAAAAAAGACTTTTCAAATCCTCTCATTACAGCCTACAATAACCTTGGAACCCCATGAGTGTATCTCTGGGTGAAGGAAGGGGGCACAATTTGGAATTGAAACTGGAAGTTCCTAGCAAGAAGCTCGCTTTGTCCCCGTGTCCTATGAAATCAGAAACGAGCACCAGGAGAGCTACTCACAGTTGACCATCAGATCCACCGAAGCGATTAGTTCCTCAAGGGTGTGCAAATCCAGAGCTTTGCACCAGTAGAGACCACTGTCGTTTCTCATGACGCTGGGAAATAACATCTTCCCGTCTGGGGACGAGTACTGCGAGTCCTGTTTGAAGCGAGAGAGGGGTGTTAGGGAACTAGGAAGGAGACCCCACCTCCCACCTCGCAGCATTCTGGTTTTTAACTTCATTAAATTCTGTTTATTGAATACTTAATGCTTTACTGTTTGTAGCTCTGTTTTTATGACATTTTTAAGCCACCCAGAGTCACTTGAGAGGTGGACAGCATATAAATTTAATAAATCTATCTACCTATCTCTCTCATCTCAATCTCTATCTATCTACCTACCTACCTACCTCTTTCATCTATCACCTCTCTCATCTCAATCTGTCAATGTATTATCTATCTATCTATCTATCTATCTATCTATCTATCTATCTATCTATCTATCTATCTCTATCTTCTACCTACCTACCTATCTCTATCATCTATCACCTCTCTCATCTCAATCTGTCTATATATTATCTGTCTGTCCGTCCGTCCGTCCACCCACCCACCCACCTATCTACCCTGTTTCCCCGAAAATAAGACATCCCCGAAAATATTTAAATGAAGATGGTAAGAGGAGCCCAATCTTGCTCCACACACCCCAAAATAATAAGACCTGCCCGAAAATAAGGCCAAGCGCTTATTTCGGGGTTCAAAAAAAATATAAGACAGGGTCTTATTTTCAGGGAAACACTCTATCTATCTATCTATCTATCTATCTATCTATCTATCTATCTATTTATCTATCTCTCATCTATCACCTCTCTCATCTCAATCTGTCTATGTATCTCTCTCTCTTTCCCTCCCTCCTTCCCGCTCTCTCTCATATGGCACATTCACACCACATACAAAATAGGAAACATAAAACCTAAAATATTATAAACGTATGTCTAGATTCCAGATACAATTTTTTCCCCCTTCATTTTTTCACAGCCAGAAAATCAGCATGTTTTTGGCATGCTGGATCTATGTTGGATCATTTGTTTTTTGACCTCGCAGTCACATTTGGGTGGTGGTATTTCGCCCCACTTACAGAGCGTGTCTGAACATCTACCCTGGCCAGATATAATAAGTAAATAAATAAAAGAGAGAGAGAGAGAGAGAGGGAGGGAGAGAGAGGAAGAGAGAGAGAGAGAGAGAAAAGGAAATAGTACAGGTAGGTGTCCATGAAAAAGTTTCCAAGATCCAGTTCTACCAGGAGTTGGTAAGCCATTCAACAGGGAGTGTCTGGCATGTATAAGCAGCTCCTTCAGGCTGGGAAGGCTGCATTCATACAATCTTAACCTGGTTTGCTTATGGTTAGTCATTCCATGGTTTAGCAAGATATGTGGGGAAGTCGGAATGGGGACAAGAGGCTCACCTCCGTCTTAAATAAAGTATATTCAGGAGGTGGATTCCCATCCCCTTCACAGACCAAAGTCGCGTTGTCTCCTTCCTTCAACTCTTGGTTCGGTTGGTCCAGGGTGAAACTCAGGTTCTGGGTGGCATCTACAAAAGAAGCAGAGCAAAACCATTCCTCTTCTGCGATAAACTGCTGTGAATTATGGGGTTTCAAGTCCACCACGTCTTCATCCGCAAGGCCGGAAATGCAGAGTTTAGTTAAAATATTCAGATTTCCCCAACGAGTTTTCATTCCGCACCCCAAATCTGCTCCTATGATTTATTTAAGGTGCCACCACCGAATGGCCCCTGGGAAACGTTTCAGGTAAAACTTTTAAAAGAATCTTGAATTTTACATGCAGTGGAAACTGTCTTGGGAAAATCATTACCTTGAAAATTGGGGAGAAATAAATCGATATACAAGTATTTCTTTTCATTGTGTTTTGACACACACGTGTGTGTGTCTGTGTGGTGTATCTGTGTAAATAAATATAATCAATATTGATTGGTTTTCATACACATATCTGTGTGTCTGCATATGAAAAAAATCAATTTATCTCTAATACAGCAGGTGGCAGCACTGGCTCGCATTTATAACTAGTTGCAACGGGATTTTTTTTGGTGGTTATTTATTTATTTATTTATTTATTTAAATTTGATCATGTGATCACAATTTGTGGGAGGAGGGGTTTTTTTTTTTTTTTTTTGCCAGTTTCTGATACCGTGGAGGAACCTGGATTCACACTCATGGCCACGGGGACTGGATGTATGATCGCATGACTCGACTTACAAGTGGGTAGACTCAACTTAGGAACTGTGATAAATACCATCATCCCATCGGGTCCAGAGACCTGGTGACTCGGCTTACGGCCAACATGACGTGTGACTGACATTCCGGTCCCTATTGTAGTCGTAAGTTGAGGACTACCTACATCAATTCCCAGTGTAATCAACTGCAGTCTCCTATGAAGCCGACCAGAGGTTGTATTCGGTAGCGGGAAATCACAGGTGTTAGCGGCTCTGTGCCATCCTTTTTAGGTAAGTTTTTGAGGCTGGGCACACATGCGAAAGGCGCGTGCCAGTGGTGAAATGTAAAATTTGTTACTACCAGTTCTGTGGGCGTGGCTTGGTGGCAAGGTAATGTGACTGGATGGGCGTGGCCAATTTTTTTTTTTACCTTTAAAACCATTTTTTCTACAAGCTCTTTGCTGAAGAGGTTGTAGAAAAAATGCTTTTAAAAGCCTCTGATGATCCCAGCTGAGTTGCCTAATTGGCAGAGACTTTTTTTCTTTTAAAAGCCTCTGATGATCCCAGCTGAGTTGCCTGATCGGCAGAGGCTTTTTTTTTTTTCATTTAAAAACATTTTTTCTACAACCTCTTCATCCGAAGAGGTTGTAAAAAAAAAAGCTTTTAAAAGCCTCTGACAATCAGGCAACTCAGCTGGGATCGTCAGAGGCTTTTAAAAGCATTTTTTTCCCTACAACCTCTTCAGCCGAAGAGGCTGTAAAAAAAAAAAAAGATTTTAAAAGCCTCTGACGATTCCAACTGAGCCGCGCGATCATCGGAGGCTTTTTTTTTTCTTTTAACTTTTAAAAACATTTTTTCAGCTGAAGTGGAAAAAATGCTTTTAAACATAATTTAAAAAAGCCTCTGATGATTGTGCGGCTCAGCTGGGCATGGTGGGGGTGAGGGCAGAGATTTTTGCTACCGGTTCTCCGAACCACTCGCCATCATCGCTACCGGATCAGGCGAACCGGTCCAAACCGGGAGCATTTCACCCCTGGTGCGTGCACCAGCAAAGGGCATACACAGGAGGCTGGGAACATGCGTGGATGGGGCACGCACTCACATTTGCAAACCGGTAGGGAAAGTAAGTGAATATCACTCCTGGACCTGACCCAACCCACGTGTGGAGCCCAGACTTACAAAGAACGTTGATTCTGAAGCTCTCTGACACGGCCGTCTTGTTCTTCCCCATCAGGGTATAATTGACTTGGCAGTGAAACTGAGCTTCGCGATCCTCTTTGGCGACTCGGGCCGAAAGCATGCTGCGGATGGTGATCAGCCCGCTGGATTCCGTGATGACCGTGGCGTGGATCCCCGTTTCTGGTGGAGCGGGAAAGAAACAACAACGGAGAAAGCAATGAGAATAGCCTTGTTCCAAGACAACTTAAAGCTGGAGAAGGAGAGATCGGGTGTGGAGAAAACGATGATTGTAATCCAGGGATGCTCCTCTGCTTGTTCGATTCCTATTGAACCGATCCCTTTTTTCAAGAGGCAAATGGACTTTCCGGTTTTTCTTGGAAGACGTTTCGCTTCTCATCCAAGAGGCTTCTTCAGCTCTGACTGAAGAAGTCACAGCTGGAGAAGCTTTGTGGATGAGAAGCGAAACATCTTCAAAGAAAAACCAGAAATTCCAGTTGCCTCTTGAAAAAGCACCTTTGGGACAACCAGGACCTGGATGGCCGAGAATCTCCATAGACTTCCATTTCTTCCTTCTTTCCTCCCTCTCCTTCCTTCCTTCCTTCCTTCCTTCCTTCCTCCCTCCCTCCCTCCCTCCCTCCTTCTCTTTCTCACTTCCTTCGTTCCTTCCCCACCATCCAGTCAAGCTGAAGAAGCTTCTTGGATGAGAAGCAAAACATCTTCAAAGAAAAACCAGAAATTCCAGTTGCCTCTTGAAAAAGCACCTTTGGGAAAACCGTGACCTGGATGAGAATCTCCACAGACTTTGAATCGATCCTTTTTGAGATAGTGGATCGAGGACGGCGTCATATATTCAGACAAGGAGAAGTTCCTTCTTTTGTGTAACCATGGTTTAGCCCAGGAGTGTCCAACCGTGGTAACTTTTAAGCCTTGTGGGTTTCAATTCCCAGAATCCCCCATTCCCCATGCTGGCTGGGGAATTCTGGGAGTTGAAGTCTACAAGTCTTCAAGCTGTCAAGATTGGACGCCAATCTTGTTTTAGCCAAATCGGTCACATTCGGAAGTCTTGCCTACCATTAAGCCATCGTTCCCATTGGACAGAGTCTGAAGGTCCAAACATTGGTGTCTCCTGCTCCAAGTCAAAAGGTTTCCATCTCATCTTCTCCTTGACCCACCAACTGTGGAGCTCTCCTTACTCTTGTTGCTTCAACCCAGTGGTGGAATTCAAATTTTTATACTACTGGTTCTGTGGGCATGGCTTGGTGGGTATGGTGTGGCTTGGTGGGTTTGGCAGGAGAAGGATACTGCAAAATCCCCATTCCAACCCCACTCCAGGGGAAGATACTGCAAAATCTCCATTCCCACCCTACTCTGGGGCCAGTCAGAGGTGGTATTTGCCGGTTCTCTGAACTACTCAAAATTTCCGCTACCGGTTCTCCAGAACCTGTCAGAACCTGCTGGATTTCACCCCTGCTTCAACCTCTTTGCTTTTCAGTCAAGATGGGCCCCCACAAAGCCATCATCCTCATATGCCACCCCAAAGAACTAAACATTTTCTGTTGGGGAAACAAGGCTCCCCTGGACATCGTTCTCACCCATAGGACAGGAAATAGTAGAACACAGTGAGATTTTTCTTGGATCACAACATGCCGATGTCAGCACTTCAACCTGCATTTACTCTAGTGCTGACATAAGAAGGAGAAGAGGGGGGCAGCTGGCAAGAGGACGCTTGACTTCTCACCTACTTATTTTCCCTGAAGATAATATCCCCTAGGAGATGAGATGGGAGGGGGGATATTCCTGGGAGCTGAAGTAGTAGATATGGGGAGAGTGATTTGGAAGAGGGCCAATGAGACGCAGAGAATTGGGGAACAGAAAGGGAAGGTTTGGGGTCAGGAAGTCAGTGTTGGCTACGCCACAATCGGGGACAGGTTGTCGTGCTTAATAAAATGAAAGATTTCTTCAAAGACTATTTGTTTGGAAATGCAATTTATTTTATTTGAGACGACATTGAAACCTGACAGCCAACCTTAGAAAAGGACCCTTCCTTTTCCTGGATGGTCTTGTGAGCCCTTTTCTGGCTCTGGGTCTGAGGTGACCTTTGGAGAACATCAACAGGAGGACATACCTTCGTCTTTGGGCTGCAGGGCCTCCCTGTTCTTGTACCACACGATGCTTGGAGCCGGGAAGCCGTTGCGGGCAGTACAGGTTGCTATCTGAAGAATAGAAACGTTGACAGGATCAGTTCTTGCAGTTCTCTAGGGGTGGACAGCTCAGATATTAATATGGGTTCAGGGTTCAAATTCCAAGTTGGAGATAGATAACGTCCTTTAGAGAGCTAAAGGGGAAAAGGTTGGGCAAATCCACCCTTGGCAACCATCATCTAAGGCAGGGATGTCCAACAACCTTAAGACTTGTGGACTTCAGTTCCCAGAATTCCCCAGCCAGCTATGCTGGTTGGGGAATTCTGGGAGTTGAAGTCCACAGTTCTTGAAGTTGCCAAGTTGGACACTCCTGATCTAAGGGATTTGATTTCTATGCAGCTTATACAGACTATAAAGGTAAAGGTTCCCCTTGCACATATGTACTAGTCGTTCCCGACTCTAGGGGACGGTGCTCATCTCCGTTTCAAAGCCGAAGAGCCAGCGCTGCCCGAAGACGTCTCCGTGGTCATGTGGCCAGCATGACTCAATGCCAAAGGCGCACGGAACGCTGTTCCCTTCCCACCAAAAGTGGTCCCTATTTTTCTACTTGCATTTTTTATGTGCTTTCGAACTGCTAGGTTGGCAGAAGCTGGGACAAGTAACAGGATTCGAACCGCTGAACTGCCAACCTTGCGATCGACAAGCTCAGCGTCTTAGCCACTAAGCCACAGCATCCTTTATTATGCAGACTATATAAATCCCTTAATTCTGTGCATACCTGCTTTGTTCCAAGGACGTCTACTTGTCCCCAAATAAGCATTTCTGCTGCAAATTTATCCCAATCTATGAATTAAAACTCAAGAGAGATGCCTTCAGAGAAGGGGATGGACAGAGGTCCAAATTTTGGGGTGAAGCACCCTGCAGAGCTCTTAAAACACAGAGCAATCCCTACCTCTTGAAGGGTGGGTTCAGCGGCTCGAAATCCATCTTTCGCCAGCTGAAACTCAGGTAGTTCCGGGGCTTCTGGAAGAGAAGAAGGATGAAGAGAGAGGTCAGGTTGTGTGGCCGAAGGAAGAGTCTTTCCATCGCTTGGACTTTCCTTGCAAATCCACCTCCCCACCCTGCCAAACTTGAGATATGGATTAGGTGGGGCTGGAACCACTCACTTGAGACCTGCAGCTTGGTCCGGTTCTCGCCGACGCCGAGGCTGCCGAGCCCCACTTGGCAGATGTAGAGCTTGGCATCTTGCGGAGTGACTTTCTTGATGACGAGGGAGAAATTCTTGGCGATGTTCAGACGGTCTCTGTACTGGTCTTCTGCCCAGTCCTCTTTGTCTTGGATCAAGGAGATGAGTCTCTTCCGCGTCATTTTTTCCCCCTGGAAAGTCCGAGAAACGGGGTGAGGAAGAGGAAGGGGAGAGGGTCAGGACCAGAGGTAGGCTTCAAAAATTTTAGCAAGGGGTTCTCTGCTCAGTTGCTGGGTGGGCGTGGCCATGGTGGGTGTGGCGGTCAGCCTCCTGCACCGTGACGGGTGGGGGAGGTGTTTTTGCCCTCCCCGGGCTCCGGAGGCTTTTCTCGAGTGTCTGGGAGGGGGAAAACGTCTGTAAAACCAGGACTAAGAATTTTCCTCGAGTAATTTTAAATAAATTGTCATCTGGGGGCAGTGTTGAACTTCTGGTTCCAAGAAGCTGTTTTCTGCAAGCCAGCTTATCTTTAAAATCGATCAATTCCCGCTATTTTTATTTTTAAAATGAACAATTTAGAACAGCTAAGAAGTCATCCCATTTTTATTCCCCTGCTTGCTGCTTCCAGAATGATGATTATTAGCAGCAGTATTTTATTATTTTTTAAAAAAAAAAAAAAACTTGTATGCTGCCCGACTCGGAGTGACTCTGGCCAGCTCGCAACCATCAAAGAAATGACAATAAAATCAATAGGAACCGAAGATAAAAGAAGATAAAACTCTGAAACGACCCAAACCTCTTTGTGGTGCCAGCACCGTTTTACACTCCGGAAAAGATTGGCAAAAGTTAGGATTGCAAAAGAGAGAAAGGGGAAAAAAAAACACGGAGAGCCGTGATCACAAAAAAGATAAACCCACAGGAGAAGGAGGCAGAGATGAGACAGCACGGCTGCCCCAGAACCCTGCGTTACTCAGAAGCTTCCATACCAGGGGTCTCCAACCTTGGCAACTTTAAGACTTGTGGACTTCAACTCCCAGTTCCTCAGCCAGCCAAGTCTTAAAGTTGCCAAGGTTGGAGACCCTGGCTGAGGAATTCTGGGAGTTGAAGTCCTCAAGCCTTAAAATTACCAAGGTTGGAGACCCCTGGCTGAGGAATTCTGGGAGTTGAAGTCCTCAAGCCTTAAAGTTGCCAAGGTTGGAGACCCCTGGCTGAGGAATTCTGGGAGTTGAAGTCCACATGCCTTAAAGTTGCCAAGGTTGGAGACCCCTGGCTGAGGAATTCTGGGAGTTGAAGTCCACATGCCTTAAAGTTGCCAAGGTTGGAGACCCCTGGCTGAGGAATTCTGGGAGTTGAAGTCCACATGCCTTAAAGTTGCCAAGGTTGGAGACCCCTGGCTGAGGAATTCTGGGAGTTGAAGTCCACAAGCCTTAAAGTTGCCAAGGTTGGAGACCCCTGGCCTGAGGAATTCTGGGAGTTGAAGTCCTCAAGCCTTAAAGTTGCCAAGGTTGGAGACCCCTGGCTGAGGAATTCTGGGAGTTGAAGTCCTCAAGTCTTAAAATTGCCAAGGTTGGAGACCCCTGGCTGAGGAATTCTGGGAGTTGAAGTCCTCAAGTCTTAAAATTGCCAAGGTTGGAGACCCCTGGCTGAGGAATTCTGGGAGTTGAAGTCTACAAGTCTTAAAGTTGCCAAGGTTGGAGACCCCTGGCTGAGGAATTCTGGGAGTTGAAGTCCTCAAGTCTTAAAATTACCAAGGTTGGAGACCCCTGGCTGAGGAATTCTGGGAGTTGAAGTCCTCAAGCCTTAAAGTTGCCAAGGTTGGAGACCCCTATTCCATACAGTTCCACCTTTGGTGAAACCCCACGGAAGCCAACATTTCTTCAGCCTCTGCCCCCCCCACCCCCCAAAAAGCTAATTTTTTTTGTTTGACTTACAGAAAACCAGTTGATGTAAGTGTAGCTGCTGTTCTCTGGGAGCGAGAACTCACAGTCAATGACAGCTGTTTCCCCAATTTCGGCTTCTACCACATCTGGCATGGAAACTTCTACATTTGTTTCTGCATCTCCTGGAGGATTAAAAAAAAAAAGGGGGGGGAAACCAGAATTAAAGGCTACAGTCATATCTATCTAGCTTCCACAGGGCTGCCACCAGCATCTGGCCCAGAGATGTTATTCAGCAGGTTCTGGAGAACCGGTAGCGGAAATTTTGAGCAGTTCGGACAACCGGCAAATACAACCTCTGGCTGGCCCCAGAGTGAGGTGGGAATGGAGATTTTGCAGTATCCTTCCCCTGGAGTGGGGAGGGAATGGAGGTTTTGCAGTATCCTTCCTCTAGAGTGGGGAGGGAATGGGGGTTTTGCAGTATCCTTCCCGTGGAGTGGGGTGGGAATGGGAGTTTTGCAGTATCCTTCCCCTGGAGTGGGGTGGGAATGGGGGTTTTGCAGTATGCTTCCCCTGGAGTGGGGAGGGAATGGGGATTTTGCAGTATCCTTCCCCTGCCACACCCACCATGCCACACCACGCCCACAGAACGGGTAGTAAAAAAACCTTGAATTTCACCACCGATCTGGCCTCCTGTCCACCCTATTAGGAAAATCAATTCTACAGGTAGATTAAAACTACACAGGCAGTCCTTGATTTATGACGGTCGCTTAGGGACCGTGTGAAGGTTCAAGAGACCTCCTGTGAGGAAAAGCAATTTTTCTTTGGGAGGAATGGAAGCGTGTAAACCAGATATAAATATAGAAGGACTCCAAACTAATTGGCGCAACCTTGACATCTTCCGTTTCTCAGTCCGTTTTATCACAACTGCCATGGCAACACAACTGAAACGCTCCTTTTCAAGACAACAACTCTTTCTTGAGGGTAGTAACCGTAGATGGGCAGGGGAATAACTCGAGGTTTGCTAATTAGGGACTATTCATGCTTATATCATCTGTTATCTTGGCATATGTGCGATTATCCCTTTCTCCTCCTCTCCCGAAATGTATAAATACGGAGAACGCACCCTTTTGTGTTGCAGCAACTCCTCTCACAGTTCTCTAGAAGGAAATTCCTCCAGGGAGCACCGAATAAATAGCTACCAATCCGTCAGAACTGGAAGGGACCTTAGAGATCTTCTAGTCCAACCCCCTGCGCAAGGAGGAGAACCTAGACCAGTGATGGCGTCGCGTGCCAAAATCGGAGGGAGCAGGGGGGATCATGTGTGTGTGTGCCCATACCCATAATACAATGCACCCCATGCGCAACCCCCCTGCACTCTCCCTGCTTTTGCCACGCAATGGAACGGTGGGCCTCGTAGGCCCATTTTTCGCCGTCCTCAGGCTGCAGAGGCTTTCTTGGAGCCTGGGGAGGGCAAAAACAGCCTTCCCCATCCTCCCCGGAGGCCAGAAATGGCCTGTTTGCTGACTTCCTGTGGGCCCGGAAGGCCCGAAAATCAGATGCGCGTGCCAGAGTTGAGCTAGGGCAATGCTAGCATGCCCACTGATGTGGCTCCGTGTGCTACAGGTGGCACACCTGTTCGCCATCACGGACTTAGACCATTTCAGACAGGTGGCTGACGGGTCTTTCCTGCAAAAAAAAACTGCAGTGAGTCTTGATTATGGGGTTTTATTTTTGGGTCCTGTCTTCCATCCTTTCTAAGGTAGGTGAAATGAGGACCCAGTTTGTGGGGGCAATAAGCTGACTTTGTATAAAATATACAAAAGGTTGAAGGCTATTGCTTAGCGCATTGCAAGCTGCCCTGAGTCTCCGGAGAAGGGCGGCATATAAATCAAATTAAAAAAAATAAAAATAAAATAAAAATAAACTGAAGACATAAAAACAAACAAAAAGAAGACGATAACAAAACAAAATCACATACATACAACTAGGGATTCAACCCCCATATACATACAGTTCCTAAGTAACATTACATACCATCATACTACATCTTCGACTAAATTTTCCACATTGCATCTTACACTTGTTAATCTTCTTACATCTAGTATTACCTTATATACATTTAGCTTAGTATCAACCAATCTGTGCTATATGCTTTCCTAACATCTACCTCATGGCAATTTTTACTTCTATCCACTTGTCCCATTTATCCCAGCTTTGATTGAAAGTTGATTCTTGTCTTACCTTTAAGAGTATATGTTAATCTATCACATTCTGCACAACGCAAATTTTTTTTAATAATCATCTGGTCCGATGGTACTTCTTTCCCTTTCCAAAATTGCGCCTATGCAATTCTAGCCACAGTGGTAATATGTATCTAAAGCACCCTGTTATTAACACAGCTGCCTGCAATTACTGCAGGTTCGAATCTCTCCAAGGCTCAAGGTTGACTCAGCCTTCCATCCTTTCTAAGGTAGGTAAATTGAGGACCCAGATTGTGGGGGCAATAAACTGACTTTGTATAAAATATACAAAAGGATGAAGGCTATTGCTTAACGCATTGTAAGCCGCCCTGAGTCTCCGGAGAAGGGCGGCATATAAATCAAATTAAAAAAAAAAAAAGGTACCAGTCTATTTTCCTTATACCCCCAGGATTTATTCCCAATAAGTAGACCTCTGGTCTCAGTTGAAAGCTAACTCCTGTAATCTCCATGAGCCAATCCTTTATCTTACTCCATTTGGGGTTTTTTCTCATACACCCTTTGGGCAATCTCTTTTCATTGGTCCCATGTTTGACCGCTAAACTCTCTCCAAAAGGTAGAGCCCTCTTTGGCTCTGTCTCTCTCTTTTTTAAAGGGGTTGCAGTTACAATTCTTTCCAGACTAGCCTTGAGAAGATCATTCCCATCAACTTCAAAACCAGCAAACTTCCCGGGGCTCTTTGCAAAAAGGGAGCAGGTGCAAAGCTGGAGATGAATATCCTGCACAAAACCATTCTTGTTCGAGAGAGAGAGAGAGAGACGCCTCTCCCTGGGCAGCTCTACCCTATCCTTCCCCACCCTCCACTCTGTTTGGAGAGGAACCCACGCGTTTGCTGAACATCTGCTGGGTTTCCAGGCATTCGCCAAGTGGGCGCGATTTCTGGACTTGGCAGGTGGGGATTCAGTTCTTCCTCTTGCATCATGGAAGGGGATCCCAAATTATTTCTGATGATACCCGGGCTTGTCATGTAGCAAGGACTCCAACTTGCCTGAACAAGGAAGCCAAGAGGCAAGGGAGATTGGAAAAAAGATCTAAGAGAGTCAATGATCTTCTTGCATCATTATGTTCTCACTTGCCAAGAAGCCACAGCCCTTCTAATAAACTGCCTTAGACACCCAGTCCTTCTAAATATGGAGGTTTTATTCAGTTAAGACTAAATAAAAGCTATTGATAGAACTGACCCAATGCTATGATTCACTAGGGGGTTACTACCATGAGGCTTGACGCAAGGATAAGAGGCAGGCATTAACTCTTAAATATTCCTTCCCCGATGAGGAACTTTTGCAGCAAGGAGAGGACTGGGAATCCCATCTACCACATCTCCTCCCCCTCTAAAAAAAAGTACCAGCAGCCACGAAGGACTAGCAAGCCCATAATGAGATTCCTATGAATGAGAACCAAGCTATGAATTAGGCCGAGATGGAGAACTCTCTGGGTTGCAAGATGAATATGACCAGCCAGTTTAGGTTGAACTACCAAGGAGGTGGCTTGGAGCACCTGATTCCCTGCAGGTGGTGGTAGAACTTCACTTCCTTGGTTGATCAAGAAAAAGCAAAAAAGAAGCCAGACTTGGTTCCTCTTTGATGGGAAGCTAGCAGGAAGTCTTCATTTCTTTCTTTCTTCTCAATTGGTTTGGTGGTAGCCAATTGGTGGAAGAATTTGTTGGAAGAATTGGGGGACACACGCAATGGTTTAGTGGCTCCTTGAACAGCTTCTTCTCTGGTAGCCCAGAACAAAGCTTTTGTCTCTTCCCAAATGAAGTCAACATCCTTGCCCAGCTGGACATCACCAGGGACAACCCCCGAGTGAGCACAGATGACCTTCAGCAAATGTGAAACATGATGAGGCGTGACGTTTCCATGCAACCGGCCTTACGAAGAAGGAGGCCCCGGCTGATTGAGTTGGACAAGCGTCAGCAGTTTGTTCTCTTTACTTATTTGCTCTGGTTTGTGTGCTGATCCCTCTGTGGAGACTCCAGGCCTGAACACTGTAAGGAGGGGGAGAGAGAGAGAAGAGAGGGGGGAGGGAGAAAGAGAAGGGAGAGGGGGGAGAAAGAGAGGGGGGAGAGTTGGAGGGAAGAAGGGAGAGGGAGAGACTGAGGGAGGGAGAGGGAGAAAGAGGGGGAGGGAGGGAGGGAAGAAGAGGGAGGGAGAGAGGGAGGGAGGGAAGAAGAGGGAGGGAGGGAGGGAGGAGAGGGAGAAAGAGGGGGAGGGAAGAAGGGAGAGAGGGAAGGAGAGGAATGGAGGGGGAGAAAGAGGGAGAGAAGAGAGGTGGAGGGAGGAGGAGAAAGAGAAGGAGGGGAAAAAGAGGGAAGGGAAGGAAGAAGAGAGGGAGGGGATGAAAGAGAGGGGGAGGGGAGGGAGGGAAGAAGAGAGAGGGAGGGAGAGAGGGAGGGGAAGAAGAGAGGGAGGGAGAGAGGGAAGAAGGAAGAGAGGGAGGGAGGGGGAAAAGAGGGAGGGGGAGCAGCGTGGATGAGGCTGGACACTGTTAGGAAGGAGAGAGGAGCTGAGTAATCAATCGAGGTAGTCGTCTAGGTGACTTCCCCTCCACCCACCCCGTTTGATGAGTCCTCAAAAGATCTCCATGGGTGAAGCAAGGGCTGCTCGCTGATGGGTGGGTGGCTGAGGTTGTTTCCAGCTCCATGCCAAGTAATGGAGCTGCTGGCCACGGTCCAGGGGAGAAGTAATGGGCTTCAATCGATCCAGTGTTGAGGCAGGGCCTTGGAGGAGGCTGATAAGTCTTGGTCAGTCCTGAGGAAGAAAACAAACTTCAGGGCATAAAACAGCCAACGCTTGGACCTCTGGAAGAAGGTTCTTGGCACTTGTGAGCCCCGGTTCATCCCAGACAATGAAGGTGTCACAGGTTCATGTTCGGTAGGATGGACCATCCTTGAAGGCTCTGCAGCTCAGCCAAAAGGATGGATG